CAAAAAAAATAATGAGGAACGCTCCTCTGTAAATGATGTCGCATTGGAAGGGAATTCAGCTTCGTTAATAAATCGCTTTCTAAACAATGTTAACACCCTATTTTCCTTCTTACGGACCAAAGTTGTTTTTGGTCTGGCGCAGGAGCTAAGTCGCGACAATTTTCTCCCCGCTTTAGGAGGTTGATAAACGAATTCTTAAACTCGAGTGTTCTTTTGCTTCATGCAGCTCAAAGATCTTTCCGGTTCCGAGCGCAAGAGGTACCTCGCTAGTGTGGGAGTTGCTCAGGAGGCCTTAAATGCCCACCGCGTAGTCACCAGCTTTGGTTTGGAGGCCTTCTACAGTGATCTATTTTTGATGAAGTGCGGCCGCCCCATTCCGTGAGTCGTTAGAACGTCTTACCACGCCTTCCCTTCCCCATAGGGATTTATCACCTCATTTTTGACGAACTCTCTCTAACTTCCGATTCCATCACCTCAAACTTGACGGTGGTGCTCAGCTCACGCCACTTTTCAAGGTTATATATGAATTTAGTGGAGTTGTCTTCCATATTACGTGCGCGCACTTTGGCGCGAACTTGTGCATGCATCCGTTTGTTGGCACTTGTCGAGTTCTGCGCCCCCTGCATCCAGTGATGTCAGCATTGTAGAGGACTTCATCGGTACATCAGTAATGCCATTCCTTCCTTCCCTCCCCCTCATAGACTAATCGACTGGTCCAACATCTTCTTTTCAACCGTTAGCACGGTAGCCCAGTCCATGCAGTACTTTCAAATGGCGGCCTCCTTCTCCGTTGGAGCGACTCTCCTGCGACAAAAGGACATCAAAACCTTCACCGTTTTCCGGTTAGTTCAACGCTTAGCCGCTATTTGTAATTTAAGGACAATAAAAAGAGTTTACCAGAAATTTTTCATGATTACGAGATCTCATTATGACCAGTAGAAATCACCATTCCTATCGCAAATTTATTACCCACTAGTCTGTCTAGATTGGCGCTTCGGCTACTCCAAAGAAAGCACTTCATTAAGTATTACCAATTTCCCATTTCCAGAGTGTTCACACTGATCAGCTTCTCCGCTCAAGGCGTTGGACGTGCAGCCTCCTTCTTACCCGACTTGAAGAGCGCAAACACAGGCGCCCGACAGATTATGAGTTTACTCGAGCGCCAAAGTCAAATGGATGTAGAGAGTGGCGATAGACCTCAGGAGCCATTCTCGGGAAAAATCGAATTCAAAAATGTCGAATTTTCATACCCTGATCGCAAATATGTCAAGGTACTGGACGGCTTTAGCCACACTGTAGAAGCTGGCACCTCCGTCGCCTTGGTCGGTCAATCCGGCTGCGGAAAGTCGACTATACTGCAGCTCATAGAACGCTTCTACGACGCGGATAATTCGGAGAAACTTAAAGAGGGTGTTTTTATGGACGGAAAGAGTGTGAAAGACCTCTCGCCCGATTGGATCCGGAAGCATATTGGCGTAGTATTACAAAATTCGGACCTGTTCGACCTA